TTATCTTATCTCTCAGAAGTATACCGGTGATACTGCTTCAGTAAAAGTTCTCCGTAATTCAGAGGTACTTGAATTCAATATAAAACTCGCGACGCATAAGAGGCTTATCCCAGCACAAACAAAGGGCAAACCTCCTTCATACTACATTGTTGCTGGGTTTGTTTTCTCAGCTGTATCGGTCCCATATCTGCGTTCAGAGGTTTGTAGCTATGTCTCACTGGGTTAGTTGATCCATCTGCTAGATTGTTGCATAACATAAAATGCATAATTAATGAGATACGCATTCCATTCATAGCGTTGTGAAATACAGTTCATCCAGGCTGACTGTTCCAGCTCTCTTGAGCATAGCCTGTTTTTATTCGACTAATGAGTATTAATGGTAGGCTCTATTGAAGGATTCTAGTTTTTGTTGATTTATAACCTCTGGTTTGCTCTCCAGTATGGAAAGGATTATGAATTTGATGCTCCCGTGAAGCTGTTGGAAAAACATCTTCATGCAATGGCGCAATCTGCAGATGAACAGCTTGTTGTTGTTTCACAGGTTCCAGTTACTCTCTTCTTATGTCTTCTAGTGTGGTATATATTGCAATATATTTACTTCTGACTGTTCTTAGCTTGTTTAACTTATCCCAGAAAAGAAAGTAATGGAACTCATTTTATGCTTTGTATTTTTGGTAGGTGCTAGTGGCTGACATAAATATTGGATACGAGGACATTGTCAACACTCAGGTATTCAAAATAATCAGGTCGTGAAAGTCCTTACAACAACTTCAAAACACTTTTTTAACTTATTTATGTCCCTTTATATAGGTTCTTGCTGTCAATGGCGTGCCGGTTAAAAATCTGAGAAGTTTGGCAGATATGGTTGAGAATTGTAACGATGACTATTTAAGATTTGATCTAGAATATGACCAGGTACTCTCCCTCTCATATATCCCGTGCTAGTTTAGGCACATTCCAACTATATGCACACACACACTCACACACCAGTTTGGCTGAGAGTAAAATTGGTTGTGCAGATAGTGATTTTACATACCAAGAATGCAAGGGCCGGAACCTTAGATATCCTCAAAACACATTGCATACCCTCTGCCATGTCTGAGGATCTCAAGATCTGAGAAACATTTCAGGATGTTCAGAACATTCGAATCTCTTAGACGCTTGAACTTTTGTATGACTTACCACTCCACTCAACTTCAATCTGAACAATATGACGTGGGTTTATTGGCCTGTTGGTAGGTGGCAAATATACCTATTAAGAATCATAATGTTTTAAGGTTTCAGGTTTTGGTGCTGACATGTGGTAGGTAGCAGCACCACCAGAACTATGCAAAGTTTTTTTTTAGCCGTTGTTTATATGCAAAGGGGGTTACTTTTTTGGAGTGTAGCGATAGGCCTTGTCTCCATTGTCATCCTATATTAGTACTATTGTGAGAATTGCAAGATAAAGTAGTGGTCCATAAATACATACACTCCTATAGGGAGGAATATTTTTATAAGTTTTGACTCGCTTTTTTTTTTTTCTTTTGATCTTAGAAATTCTAATTTACAATTTATGTTGAGCCTTGTAATGTCTTTTTGCTTAAACATGGGATGGGACTGAGATCACCGTGCTAGTGCCGAGGAAGACACCAATATCTCAAGGAAGTAGAATGCATAGCCACATTGATACTATCCCTTCTTTAGTGAAGAACTTTCGGAATGCCAAATGGGTTGAGCATATGATTCCTCTGTTCCATTGATTCATTAGTATATATTTTCGGGCTACACATGTGCACGCTTGTAGTTTTTCAACAGAGGGACCTTTTGGCCAGCTGTTGATTCATCGCGTTCAACTCTGCATTCCTCTATCATCTCTTCTTTGGCTTTGCCCCACATTACAGTATAAAACCCAACTGATATAATGGATGCACCTATTAGACTGCAATGTGAAGGGAGTGAAATTTAAGAGCACTCGAAGCAAACAAAATCCTGAATTCATTTTAGGAAACGTTGAAAGTTTTAGAAGGCTTTCTAGTTTCTATCAATATTGTAGAAAAAGTCCTTTAGCAATATTACGTATAGTGTAAAAATTAGTAGAGTTCATTGAATATAAAAAAGATTCATCTTTGCAATTTAAGTACCTTCCAAGATGGAGAGTATCACCAAGGAACATGACACCCATGACGACAGCAATAACGATTGACAATGGCTTGAACATTGCCACATAAACAGGTCCCTTCAAGTTCAATGCCCATGCATGGACTGTATTATTCATGCACGAACCAAATAGTCCCTAAAACATACAGTAGACCCGAGATTTACAAAACATACATCAATCCAATTGTTAGTTGAGCCATTAGTGTATGATGAAAAATGTTTTATTATACCCTGATCACTTACCGAGCAAATGACAGATGCTAATGCTATATGTGGCCTAATCCTCCAAGCACTTGAATCTCTTTCAGTGAATACACCAACAATTGCAGCTATAAAGCTAACGCATAAATTGTAGAAGAAGATTACTGTTAACTCTGCTGGATACTCCTTCATGATTTGTGTCTGTAAAGCATTACAAACTCCTATCAAATTTATATCTAAAACAAGTAGTTGTAATATACATTAAGCTGAATATTACCTGAACAATATACCATAGTGGAACTAGTATATATTCAGCTGTGAGCAAAACACCACCAATGATCCAATTGGAGCTTGATGAGAGCAATTGTGGTTGATCAAGTGCAATGGACGGTGATGATGCTATGATGATGGGTGGGCCCTTATAAAGAGTCACTACAAATGCCCCGGTGATTGATACAAGTGTACCCAACACCTTAGCCTGGCTACTACTACTTTTCAAACCAATTTTCTCCATCCTTCAAGTGGCATATAAAAGATGAAGATGATATATCAGAGAATACAATGAAAAGCTACGAAGTACTTCCATAGTCCCAAAGGGAGAGTGTGATTCTATATGCAAACTCATATAACTAAACATTTTCAATTTAAAGTCAAAACTTGATGGTAGCTATAATGACCCATTTTGATGTAATGACAGAAAGAATGGATGAACTGAATTTTTTGTCGGGTTATAAGCAAGCGAATCAATTAAAGATATTTAAAGCATTCTTCTAAATCAATTTATGAAACAAATTGTGTGCTAACCCCCATCATCTAATTACCAGACAAAAGCTAGATGTATGAATTTTGCAGACGAAGGTGGGTCAAACCCAGCAAAAGTCTACAAGTTAAAAGACGAGAGGCAGAAATTATCAGACAAAAACAAGACGCTACACAAATACCAAGGTAAGCAAAGTAGAAAGAAGCCACGGCAGATGAAAACATGAACATCTGTCCTAAGCCAAACACAAAAATGGCCATCTTCATTATCAGTGTCTGTCAACTTTCTTACAATGCATTTGGAGGGTTTTTGGTAATTTTACATGGGGAAAAGAAATACCTGAAAAGGACGGCAAGTATGAAAGTAAAAGCTGGTGTAAGGTTGCTGATAGCTGAAGCAAGTGTTGGAGAACTATAATTGATGCCTGTGAAACCCAAAATCTGAGATGAACTCCTGTTTCAAATCCCATCGGGGAATCAACAAACGCAAAACAAATTCCTTTTCTCTTCATTTCTCATCTGACAAACAAGAATTTAAAGAGTATTCGAATAAAAAAAGATTACCCAATAAGACCCAGAAGTCCAATTTTACAAAGGATAGAAAAAGTCAAGGGAGGAAGCCTCCTTGATCTGCAAACAATTAATTGAACAAATCCGAATGTTAAGAAGAAAAGTAGATGATCCTGTTTGGGTAGTAAGAAAATGATACCTGTGAGAGAAAAAAGGTGCAGGAAGGAGAACAAGAGCAGCAATAGCATAGGCATAGACAACAAAGACATGGTAGCTCATGCCCTTTAAAGTTGCTGCTTTGAAGAGTGTGTTTAGCCCTACGTTGGTGCATTCCATGGTCACCAGAGCTGTAAATGGGAGTACATCACTGTAGCAATATCTCCTTGCCATAACTCTCTTTCTGTATGTCTTTCCCAAAATACACAAGAAAGGGCTAAGAAAGCTGAGAGAGAGAGAGAGAGAGAGAGAGAGAGATTGATGTTTTTCAGGCTATGAGGTGATTGATTGGACCCCCCCTTGTGTTGTTTTCTAACATGAAGAGAAGATTTCCTTCTTCTCACAATAATGTGATGGTTTTCAGTTGCTGAGTTTTTGTTGGGATATTACATCATCATCATCATCATATATATATATATATATATATATATTTTTTAATGGAGACTTTCTTGCGGGTCCTTGTAATTACTTACTTAAAAGTAAAGGTAATGATGTCCAACTGCCTGGGTTAAAATAATTAGTCTGGTACTGGTTAGCTAGTCTTTTTGACACATAATATTGAACTCTGTATCCATGAATAATCTAAATTTTCTTCTTTTAAGTTCCAAAAAATATAACTCATATAGAACATCACTTCAATAAAGCAATATCTTTTCTTTTGATTTTTCTCTATAATTTTTTTTGGGTGATGTTTGAATATTTATGATTTAATATTTTAGTATATATTCGTTTATTTATTTTTATTTTAAAGAATATTTTTATAATATATATATTCGAATTAATTCTTAAGCTACAACTAAAATTATAAATATTGGATAAAAAGAAAAAGTTATTCATGAAGTACTGATAAACGATCATTAATAGTTGAAATGTCCAAAAAAGATTTTACACACTGTAAGCGAGAAAAATAAAAACACTTTTTGCATCCATCCACAGCCCCACTGAGTTTTCCCTCTCTTCCACCCTAGCCCTAAAAGCACCTCCCATCATTTGCTGCTTACCTCCTTCCTTGGACTACAGCTGCAAACTATTTCATATACTTAAAGGAATCCATGGCTCAACCATCTTCCTCCTCCTTTTGACGCCATTAACTTCCTTTAGATTTCTACTGTATTCAAGTACACAATCTCATATCTGGAGAAATACTTTATATGAAGTAGAAGAAGCTCTATTCTTAGCATGTATTATCACATATTATATGCACTTTAGTTTTTACTAAATGGAAATTTTGGACATCTTTAATCTATGAATACAAGATTTGCAAGTTGCATATATATGATTGATAAGTAAAATGGGTTCAACCCACCCATGTTTATGCACCGTGCTAAATTTACTCTAATTAACTTTGCCCAAGTTACCACATCAAAGGTGTCATAATTCTTTTATTGTAGTCAAATTAAAATTTTATGATTTTACAACAATTTTTATTATTTCAATAAACTCCAATTTTAATTTTATTTCTTTTCAAAATTTTAGTAAACATATAAGAATTCTCTAGTTTTAGTCTATTAAAAAAAAATTATATAAGAATTTACGAGCTGCTATTTAACTGAAAATTTATAGTTTATTTAAAAAAAATAAGTTAAATTATAATTTTAGATATAATTATATATATATATATATATATATATATATATATCTCAATAGGAGGACTGTAATGGAAGGACTCTATATGGAAAGTAATCAAGGACTAAGTCCTTCTCTCTACTCTTATATATAAAATTAATTTTGACTAATTGATTTAAGAACACTTGGTTAAGGTTAATATTTGGTTCTTGGGGTGAGATATGAGACAAAGATAAGATTTTTTTAAGAAATTTTTTTATATGGATTATGAGACCCGTTTTTGTAGAAATAGATTGAAAACGATCTGATTGTTTGAGAAAAAGATGAGCCTTTGTACAAATAGTTTTCAGATTTTAAGACTATACAAGTTGATTGACATATTTATTCTATTCTTTCATTCTATTAATATCTTATGATAATTGAATTCGAACATAATTTATTTAATTTTTTTATTTATATATATGTACCAGTAAATTACTTTATGATTATATAGTAGTTTAATTATTCTCTTAATATTTTAAAAATATTCTTGTTATTTTCAACACATAAAACTAGATTTCAGCAACAAACTTAAAATTTTTAAATTTATTAAATAAACAAAGTTTAGTAGATTTTATTATATTTTCAGTTATGTATTGCATTACTGATCATGAATTTCGGATCAAGAACTAAGGACTAAATAAAGAGAGTTAGTCCAGCCGGAAAAAGATGATGGCAATGATTAAGAGGCCACTAGCTGCTAGACTGGCTAGAGGATGAGCAGCCGAGATTGAGGAGAAGAGAGCTGAAGAGGACTGAGAGTGATGAGTGAGGCCCGAGTGATCTGGTTGTTGAGCTAGAATAAGTGAGGAGTTAACAAAGAGGCAAGAATAGATGATAGATGCTGAGTTGAGGTTGAAGAGAGGAGCTAGCAGAGAGCAAAGAGGTTATAGATGCAGTAACGCAGATGCAAGAGCCAGAGGTAAGTGAGGGTTGGAGTGCTAGCTGGGAGGAACTTTAGGTACTTGGAGTTTTTTGGTGTTTTAGTTTTTATCATACCATGATCCCCTTATCTAAGGATTGAAGATCGAACACCTATATGTAAAGGTATTGGTTCTATTTAGAAACTATGTTTTTCATTGGTGTGCATGTGCTAATTAATTAGTAAATTTAATATTATATAATTTTTTTTTTTTACTAATTTGTCCTTTTGTCTTAAGAAATGAAAAAGTCAGATTGGAGAACGTAAAGAAGCTCATTTATGATTAAACCAAAAGAATTTTCATATTGGATATTCAGTAATTGATGATACACAACCAACATTAAACTGTATATAAATGAAGTGCAACTTTTATCTATTTGCGTTACCTGGTAATTAATAATCACTTTATATTTCTAGCAATACTGAAATCCAGCTCTATCTCAGGTTTGCCTTCCAGTAGAACCAGGAATCTTTCTTAAACTCTCTGTATAATGAAACTCAGCCCCCAAGAAAAAAAAAAAAAAACAATAAAAAACCTGATTAAACAACCAAATCCCGAACTAGCTAATCTGTTCACCAATCAAATCCAAGCCTACAACTAGGAAAGACAACCCCTGGAAAAGCAAGAAGTAGAAATGAACACCATGGGAGGATAACAAGCTTCTTGCAGCTGCTGTGAGCAGTAGAAAAGCAAGAGCAAGTTCCTTCTTGTATAATCTATTTCTTTTCTTTACAGGACAAACTTCTTGCTCCTTGAGTTTACTCAACTCTTGTAAACCAGACTCAGAGTTCCTTCTCAGTAGCTTCTCTTCTTTCTCCGCGAAGGCTAGCAGATCAGATTCAGATGATCTGCCTGTTTTCTTTGTCACGATCCACTCGTAAGCACTTCCTAGCTGAAACAATCCTGAGATCATGGCATTGAACTTTGTGACAGACATTGTGTTCTCGAAAAGAAGGTAAGGAACCAAGAAAGGGAATGATTTTGGTGCAGGAAGAATGTTCAAGAAAGACATGAAAATGGGGATATAACAGATCACCCACATAGGGAGCTCAGCTTCAGGTACAAACATGGTTAATGGAAGTATAATACAGAAGAGGGTGAATGAATAGAAAGGTAGTATGAGTTTCCTCAGAAGAAAGAAAAGAAATATAAGATTGGCCTTTTTCCAGAACGAAATCTGCAAAACAGAATAAATCAACTAATTAAGATTATAACTTGACAGTTACCATAAAATTTTTGAAGAGTTTGATGAGGGAATAAATAAAGATGATAACCTTGGAATTTATAATGGAAGACAGGCATAGGCGAAACAACTGCATAGGACCAGAATGCCATCGATGCTGTTGTTTCTTATAAGCTTCATAAGATTCTGGTAATTCACATACTACTTTAATATCATTGACAAAGATGAATTTCCAACCATTGAGATGTGCTCGAACTGCAATGTCCATGTCCTCGACTGTCGTTCTCTCTAGCCAACCTCCTGATTCCTGGAGAGCTTTGATCCTCCACACGCCTGCGGTTCCATTGAATCCAAAGAAATTGAGGAAGACGCCATTCACTTGTTGTTCTACCTCAAAATGGAAGCAGAGATTGATGTTTTGAAGCCTGGTGAGCAAATTCTCATCTTTGTTCACAAACGACCAGCGAGCCTGAACTAGACCCAGTTCTGGATTTGCCTGCCATGAATACACAAGATCAGTTTTTAAGTGATTTTTTTAAAAAAACACACTTAATTAGCCAGGACTGTTTCGTGGAATGAAATATATTAGTTACCTTGAAGTGAGGAATAGTCTGTTTGAGGAAATCAGAGTTTGGCTGGAAATCTGCATCAAATATTGCCACGAACTCATAGTCTTTAACATAATCACAAGCCATGGCTGATTTCAGATTGCCCGCTTTGTAACCGGTTCTGATTAGCCGATGCCTGTAGATTATGTTGACACCTCTTTGACGCCACGAAGAGACTTCTTCTTTAATTAGAAGTTGCAAATTTGCGTCATCTGAGTCATCTAGAACTTGAATTAAGATTCTGTCCTTTGGCCAATCAAGTTGACTGGCAGCCGCAATTGATTGTTCATACACCTAAATTCCACGTTTTACATTCCAAGATGAGAATCAATAAAGAGAGTTATGACACTCAGTTGTATACAACAGGGGTAGATATCAAATAATCAAACCATGAATTTGATATCTAAGTTTTAAATACGAAAGGAACAGTGCTCGTATAACCGATTATAAAGTTGAAAAAGCATTATCATAACCGAGATGATTGGGATGCATTTTTTACCAACCATTTAACTCTATTAAGGCAGTTTAAAAAAAAAAAAAAAAAAGGAGATTTGAGTTTTTACCTCTCTTTCGTTGCACATGGGAATCTGAACAAGAACCATCGGGAAACTCGAGTCATTTTCCACATCATAGGCCTGATCACCATCAATTCTGGGCTTCAACTTTTTGTACTTAATCCAAAAACAGCCAAGACAGAGAACCAGTCGATCAAAAGACTGGATCAAGAAAAGCAGAGTGCAGAACTTGGAAAGAGTGACGAGCAAAGGAGCAATGTAATCAACTCTAAAGGAAAGCCAGGCCATATAGGACCAATGAACGACACCTTCAACCTCCCACGAATTCACGTTCCATTTCTTGAAATGAGCGATGAGTTCTACTAGCAGAGCTACAACGGAGATGACAAGAAAAGCTTTGAGAAATTTGTACAATCTTCCTCTGCTTTTGGGCTCTTCATCGCTCGTGTCATCAGACAAGGTAGTACGTTTCTTGACTGAGACAATCATGGCTCGGAAAGCCGTAGACAGCCACGAAACACAGGTGAGAGCTTTGTTGGCTTTCAGAAGGAGAAACCACGTGAACTGCTTAGGACTTACGGCCTTGTCTTTATCAGGGAAGAAGGATGAATCTGAGCCGTGGATCTCTACTACCGAGAAGTTATTAGGCTTCTCCACCATTGTCACCACAACTGAGTTTGGAGCCATTCCAAGTCAATTCCAGGAGGAAAGATGAATACCCAGATCAGAATTTTGGCAAAGCAGGAATGGGCTGGGCTGGCTAGGGAATATTCCAATTTACGAGATTTCCATAGCAGGAGGGAAAGGTAGCTGTAGTTTTAAAGCTGGATCTTTGAAAAAGAAACAGAGATGTGGATGAAACTTGAAAGTTGAGAGATTGAAGTCAAAATCAAGACGTCTGCCGAGTGAGGAAAAAGGGAGGGAGACGAGTAGTGGTTGAATAAGATACTACTAATAAGGAGGGGGGAAGAGGGTATATATTTTGAGGTGAGTCCAGAGCAATTATATAAAATATAAATTGGCATAATTGAGCGATCCGCATACAACCAATCTGAGTCAACTTGGGAAGGATTTTGTTTAAGTAGGTCCGGTGGTCAACTAAAATAATAATAAATAAATAAAAAAACTTGGATTTTCTGGCGTGCGGAAAGAGAAAGTCCCCAAGTAAAATCTGGTAAATTTGTTTTGCAGAATAAGAAATTGTATTAACTGCAATTTTTAATTTTTTTTATTATTATTTACTATTTACTTTCAATGACAGTTGTTTAGATTTACAATAATTCTCGCTCAACAAATTGCGAGGAAGTTTCTATTTCCTTTTTTTTTTTTTTTTTTTTTTTTTAATTTCTAAAAAGAAATGAATGAGATTAAGAACTACTAACAGTAATTTTTTGTAATTAAAATTTAATTATTTTACATCTTCGCATTTGGATTGTTGTCCGAAACCCATTCTTAGGTAGATTTGTGAGCACCCTTATTAAATTAAAATCACAAATTAATTTCTTATATTTTAAAAATTACGCTTAATCAAAGGTAATAAATATATTACAACATTTTAAATTTTTTGTTATTGAATTAATGTAAATTTTTCTTTTGGGTGTAGATAATTTCATTTCGATAGTCCGTATAGATTTTTATTTTTATTTTTTAAAAAATTAGCAACACAAGCATATGCACTTTTAATGTGGATCCGATGCATATTCCAAATTTGTACCTTAAGATTTATAAAATAAAATAAAAAATTGAATCATCCAACAAGACAAGAATTTAATGCGATGGGGTCTCTACAGTTCAAATGTGTCTTCTTTTTTGGTTTTTTTGGAAACCCCATGTGAGCCTACTTTACACGGACATATATATATAATTCCGAAGGCCTCTCAGTTAGTTAATACGGTTGTTTTACACGTGTGAACCTCACCTCACACTCGCAAACTTTTTAACGCAATTTTCTTCCGACTCACTTTTAATTTTATAAGAAGCGAACATTTAGTATTTTAATTTGGTTGTGTAATATTATGTATTAGAAAAATAGGACTTCTTCTTATTTCTCTTTCTTTAATATATCTACACATAATTATTTACTCATAAGAATTTTCTTGTTCAAGATCTATGGAGTAAAAAAAAAATTCTCTTTAAATCTACATATCCATCATAACTTTGATTACAAATCTACAGATATATTTATATTGTTTTTTATAGTTAAAAATCTTTTATGATATTAGAGTATAATAAACTCATAGATAAAAAAACTCAAGTCAAACGAATAACTTAAACTCTCCTAACAATATTAATTTTTTA